TATATGAGAACTTCCATAGAGGAAGACAACTTAAACTTAAAATTGTTGTTTTATAGTAAAAGTAACTACGGACAAAGAGGATTATAGAAGCTAATTATTGACTCGTCTTTTCTTATACGTTTAATCATTCTTTTAGCGCTATATATTTTATCTCTCCCTTACCTCATTACATATGAGAACAAGGGACAATCATATTATCTACAGTTTAATAGTGGATAAGTAGCTCTTAAATTGCATGTGCTGCAAATTTTTTATACAACTTCTGATTTATCTGAATATTTTTCATCTTTAAATATATTTAATCATATAATTTTCTATATATTATACCAGCACTAAAATCACTTAAACTGAATTCAATTTATTCATGTGCTACAAACTTTATTGCTACAGAAATTAATGAAGTTGTTATATGCATAGACGAACCTAATATAATATTCTATTAAATTGTATAATACCTTAGATAGGACAAAAACATGTAAAAATATAAAAACAAAATATGAATACAAATTGCTGTGTCTATTTAACACTCGGCCTAAATTCTGGTGGGCAAATTGTAGTGCCAAAATCAGGTGGTCCATTTATTAACCTAATAGATATGCTAATCACATTTAAATATGTTGTATTACATTTCAAAAATCTATTTTAATTCGGACTTATACAAGATGCAATAACATGAATATTAAATCACTAGATGGATTAATAAATCTCAAATAAACCTTATTAATTTGGAGGTTAACCATTCTCTGAAGCAATCTATATCTGTCTTCTAAGAGAGCAGCTTTCGATTAGATGATGGACAACGATAAGCTCTATTCATTAGGGCTTTGCACCAAAATATCCTCACTGCTCAACTGTTTCTCATCATTAAGATTACAGTTGGCGGTCCACGTTAACCCACATAATCAGCCTCATCAATGATCTGGATTCTTCCCAAAAAAAAATTATTAGCAAGTTAGAGCTACCCTATTAAATGTCCCCTACCCTCTCCATCCACCATACCTGTCCCTCTCATAAGTTTCGTCATTTTTATGAAAGTGTATTTATATTACTTGCTAGTTACATATAAACATATGTCAAATGCGGATAGTATTTAATTATTCAATGTTTTATTTATTTAATTTTAAAAAAAAATTATTTTCTCTTTTTTTTTTCTTTACAACTTTATCAATTTTATTGATTAATTTAATATTTTCTTCTTTAATTTTATTTAACCGACGACGACACTAATTTTGATGCTGATTGTCGCCCGCTGGTTATCTTTTTTTTGATTTTAATTTCTTAATAAGAGTAATTATGTCTTCGTGACATGTTCTCTGTCTTTATGGCACGTTTATCTCTGTCTTTGTGGCACGCTTTTCTCTGTCTTTTGGTAGCTTACGGTTTTTTGTCATTGTTTTCGTTTATCTTTTTCTTCTTCTTATGGTTGTATTTTACATCGCCACGACTTATCAATATGTTGCTTATTTGTTATCGTGATTATCTTCCCTGTTTTGGACCATTGGATTGATTTGGATACACGTTTTGCGATCGTGGATAGCTTTCTCACGTCGCTTGACTCTGATTTACAATTTGTCGGATCTTTCAGTAGCTCTATTCATTTTTGTGGTTGATTTACCGATGCAGTCAGATTTATTCGTATCTTTATTTTGTTCGAGCTTTTTGGTTAGGTTTTTTAACATTTTCCTTCACTAGTCCTTATGTGATCTATGTAACTAATTTTTGTCTCATTGATAATAATAAAATGTCATAATTATATTTTAGGTTTATGTTACACTTGTAAATCTTCATTCTAATTTTGTATAATTTCTAATTTTAATAAAATTAGTGATTTTCTATCAATTTTTTAAAATCACATCGTATATTTTATTTAATATACTTAAACGCAATTATTAAAAATACTTAAAATCTTTATTATATTAGTTATTGAAATAAATCTACAGTAAAATCTTTGGTAATATTCCTTTTTAATGATAATATGTTAAGGTTTTAATTATAATTATTTTTCTTTTAAAATTTTTAATAGTTTGAGGTGATTAAAGATAACATTTATTTATGATTTTTTAAATTATTAACAATACACACCCCATATAAATTTAAGTTGATTTAATGCATCTAAATCACTAACGAAGCCAATATAGGATGAGGGGTGTCAAATGACACCCCAAAATTTTAAAAGAATCAAAATTTCTATAAATTTTATAGGCTTAAAGCTCACATTTGCCATTGTAGTACACCCGATTTATCATTTTCGCCATTATCGTATTTTTGTATCAAAATTGTTTAATTGCATCATTCTATATCTTACCCCTAACTTAAAACCTTAAATTATAAACCTTGTTATAGTTTAGATTAGGGTTTATAGTTTATAGGTTATATGGTTATGATTTAGGGTTTATGTTTTATAAGTTAGGGTTTTAAGTTAAGGGTAGTGTATAGAATTATGCAATTGAGTAAATTTGAGGACTAAATTGATGCGAAAATACGATAGGGACAAAAGTTATCCTTTTGTCAAAATTATATATTTATTATATAAATAAAAGTAAATGACATTATCAACTACCAGTTTATCTAATTGGATGAGACACTAGATCCCTTAAGCAATGTCAGGAGTTATAATCTTGACGACTGTGAATGGAGTAAACTGGATTGAGATGGTTGTTCTTGCCTCTGCAGTATCCGATCCGAATTAATTGATTAATAGATAGAATACATGTGGTTATACAAAAAAAATGGCATCACCTCTTAAAAAAGAAATTGATCCTTTATTTTTAAATAAATTTATATAATTTTATTTTATATATAGTGTAAAATAAAAAAGTTTTATACTTTTTTAGGATCATTGGACGATGAGAAATTAAAAATTGAAACTAGCAGTAGAAAATGAGAATATATTAACTGAAAAAAAGGAAGAAGTTAATCTCAATCTTTGAATTCTTCTCATTCAATGATATTAAAATGATATAAAACTAAAAGTTTTGCAGGTTTGAGCTTCTTTTTTTATTTTTTACATAATTTTTTAAAAATTAATATTTTTACCATTAATGATATAGATAGTCGTCGACAATCAGTTTTTTTTCTCCTCTTTCAGACCATGTCATAAACTTTGTCGTATTTTTATATCTTTTAATTATATTATTTTCTATTTTTATATCACATTTTTGCATGATTTTGTAATACGTCTTTCTTCTTTAAGTGCTAAATTTGACATTTATAGTTTAGTTTGTTTAATGTAAAATATTTTTCAGAAATTTTATTTTTAAGTGTTTGATCTAAATAAAATTAATTGGTTAATGCAAAACATTTTTTTGGTCAATAGAATTTATTTTGTATTTTTTTAAAAATGACTGACAATATGATTTTTTGTAAGTTATTTTTGAATTTTTCATTTCAAATAATAACTATTTAAAATAATGGTATTTTATGTATTTAATATTAATATAATATTTTAGTATCATTTTAATAAAAATACTTATTATTAAAAAATTTAAAATATATTTATTAATATTATTACTAATATAATATTATATTTTTAATATTATAATAATATATTCAGTTATATTATAATAATATATGATATTATATTTTTATTTTAATAATATATGATAAATATTTAATAAAATCTATATAATTTATTAATTTCATAAAAATAATATTATTAAATTATTAGTAATGAATAATATATTATTTATGTATTATTATTAATATAATAATCTAGTAATATTTTAATAAACATACTTAACATATATTTATTAATAATTTTTAAAATATAATATAATATTCTTACTTTAATAAATAATTACTATTATTTATAATATTTTTTATTTTAATATAATATAATATTCTTAATACTTTTATTTAGAAAGTTAAAGAAAAAATATTTTAATATCAATAATGAATAAATTATTTTAATATTTTAAAAATAATAATATTAATTTTTATAATAAATAATATTATTTATTATATTTAATATTACAATAATTTTTTTATAAAAAAATTACCAATTAAAAATATGTACACACCACAAAACATTTTTTTATAAATATTTTTTATAAAATGTAATTCATTTTACGAAAAATATTTTTTAAAAATTGTTTTCAATGAAACACTGCTACTATATATATTCTTTAGGGGCTAGCTTTTACACTTCGATAGTTTAGGAAAAATTATTAAAATCTTAAATAAAATCTTTAAAATGTAAAAATCTTAAAAAATAAAAAATTAGTTTTTAGAAAATAACTTATTTAGTTTTTTTGGGTTTTTTTAATTTATAATGATATTTTACATTTTTAATATTGATATGAATTTTTAAATTTTAAAGCTAATAATTAAAAATCGTTACAATTTTGATTTTTTTCCTTCAGAAATTGTATTTTTCTCTAAAACTTCATTACACATTGCATGCTCTAGTTGTCACATGACTTTTCTAAGTATGATTGTAAAGGGGTACAATGTTAAACAAAATAGTAGTAAAGCAAACTGAACAAGAAAAATAGTAAGGTAGAATTTACCTAAATACAAGTAGGAAAAGTGAGATTAAACCTATTCTATAATTGGCTTTTGTTTTAAGAATATAACTTAGGTTAAAAATAATATTATTGTCGAGAAGGATTAGGGATGGGGTAGGAACATTATCCTCTTAAAAATTTTAATTTTTTTTTATATGTTTTAAATTTTTTATTAAATTTATGTCTTTAATCTCTAAAGTTTTATAAGATATACGGCAGTCAAAATTTTATAAATTGCTTCCTAATATGAAATCATGCTACCATGTTTGAGAGGGATAACATCAAAGAAAAGAATGATTGGCTAGAAGTTAATTATACACCAGCAGAGTAGACTTAAAGAAGTCATTTATCAGGTCTCAACTTGGGATCTTGAGATTTGTTTAGAAACTAGAGATCTACTAAGCTTAGCAGACAACTGAAGATACCCACACCAGTTGCCGAGATCAAAAATGTTGAGCGACGAGCTACATCAGAAAAGTCTGCAAATCAAGCAGGATGACAAGTTCTTCAACAGGCTCATGTCCAAAGAAAATTCAACGGCCAACTCTTCTTGCAGGGTCTACTACGGCGGAGCTTCCGGTGCCGTTCCCTTCACGTGGGAATCTCACCCCGGAACCCCCAAACACCCTTACTCCGACGTCACCCTTCCTCCTCTCACTCCACCGCCTTCATACTATTCCTCTTTCAACTCAAAATCTAACCACAAAAGGGGCTTCAAATCCACCCTTTTGAGCTCCATCTTTCCCAGGAAGACCAAGGCTTCCTCTTCTTCTTCACGCTCCTCTACATCATCATCTTCATCGTCATGGTCATCGTTGCATGATCCTGGTTCTTCAACGAACCGTAAATTGTTTCATAGGCGGATCAGCTATTTTTCATGCTCGAGGTCGCCGGTTCATAACTGCATGGATGATGATGATGATGATGAAGGTGAAGGGCTTGGATCACCAACTTCGACATTGTGTTTTGGGGTTAAACCAAAGAATCTGAATGGGTTTAAAGGATGTCAGTCGATGATGAACGTAAAGAAAGAGTTGCTTGCAATGGTAAGCCATGGTTCTGGTCAAGGTACTAGTAATTAATTTCATCAAACACCTTTCACTTTCAAATGTTCTTAATTTCTGGATTTGATCTTGATCTTGGTGTTTTTCAGATGAATGATTTTTCATCGATGAACAGTTTGTTCAAACTCATTAAAATCCGATGCATGTTGTGAAAAATATATTAGCATAAAGCAATAAAGGGGTTATGAATATATGGTGTTTATGTTATTTGTGTAAACATTTCAATAAAATTCTATTACCGGATGGTTTAAATATTGTATTAAAAGTGTATATTTATTCATTTGTTTACTGAATATTTATAGTCTATTCAGTAATTATTTTTTTAATATAATCACTAATTTTTGATTTATTAATCGATTAATCTGATTATTTAATAATTATTTAAATATTTATTTTTGAAATTTTATTTTAAAAGATATTCCCACCATACTTGTCCTTGCTTTCATGGCTGTTCACGTGGTAGTTAGGTCTTCAATGAGAGTGAATTTCCTTTTTTTTTTCCTCAAAAAAATAAAAGAAAATTTTTGGTAAATTGATTGCATTAAATAGCCATGTGTCCCCAAATAGTTAATTGTATCATATAGAATTTTATTTCATTTTTGGTAAATTGATCGCAACAATGGTGGTGAGTGATGACAACGGGAGACTTTGGTTGAATTCAATATAAAATTGGTCTGTAAACTTTTAAACATTTTAATTTTATCCTTAAACTATGACTTTCATTTCAAAATAGTCCTTAAACTTTCAAGAATTCGAATTTCACCCCTAAATTATGACCCTCTTTCTAAATTGGTCCCCAAACTTTTGATTCTTCCAATTTCATCTAAATATGTAATTAGTTTCAACCATAGTTTAACCTAGACTTTTTTTATTTTAACATATAATAATAAAACTTGGCGTAACAATTTTATTAACAAAAGATATGATTAGTATATAAGTATAGTTTGAGACAAGATTGGAATGTTCAAAAAGTTTAGGGACTAATTTAGAATGAATGTCATAGTTTGGGGATGAAGTTGAAATATTCAAAAGTTTGAGTCATAATTTATAATGATAGTCATAATTTAAGGATGGAATTAAACTATTTAAAAGTCTAGGGATCAATTTAAAATAAAAATTATACTTTGATAACACGTGATGCAATTAACTCAACATAAAACTGAAAGCTAGTGCTCGACCAAATCACCACTATGAACGTCGGCATGCAGCACGATCTCGATCTCAAAATAAACTAAATGATTAAATTGTATTTTTTTTAGCTAAAAAGTTAGACCGTGTTATTATTTTAGTATCTAAAAAGTTTTGTGGTTAGTTTGTACCATAAACTTTAATTTTATTAATTAAGCCTGATACCTTATAACGCTCTTTGGTTACAAAAATGTCATGTAACACTCAAGAGCATATCATCTAAAATGCTACATTCGAAAACTTAAAACTTTTCATGAAATTATCTTTTAAAAACCAAAAAGTAGGGGAAATTCTAGAAATTCTCAAAACTTAAAAACATTAATATTATTATAATTTTTTAAAGATTTCATGTTTAATGTATTGTGTGTCATGACATTCAGATGACACGTGCCTAAAGTGACATGATATTCGTATAAGGGAAGAAAATATTGAAATAACATGTTTGACGGAAGAAAAATTCGAAATTGACCTGAGTTAAAGAAAGAGTTTGTGTACCAAAATGATAATAAGGTATAGATGAAAAGGTTAAAATACTATTTAACCCTAAATTAATAAATAAAAATTGCTAACATTATTAGGTAACAAGTATCACGATGTACCTTATAGAGAGGTGAATTCAGTAGGAGGATCTAAAAGAGCATAGGGGTTGCTTTACAACCCCAAAAAAAAGGAATAAAAAGAAATGGTAATACAATTCAATGTTTATAAATAAAAGGAAATGGTAATACAATTCAATGTTTATCAACAATGACAAGAAATGGTAATGCATTGACCAGATCCAAAAATCAATTGATTCAATATTGATTTGAACCAGAAAACAATCGATCCAATAATCACTTTACTCGAAAATTGACCTGACTCAATCCGATTCACCGTACACCCGAACTAGATTCGATCCGAACAAAATTAAATTGAATTTAATCTAGATCTGAAATTAGTCGACCCAAACCTGATCCGAATGACCCGTTTTGACACCACTAATCATTTTTAATAATGAACACAATTAGAAATTGAAAATTACGACCAGGATAAGTACTTCCGTATTGGATTATTTTTGGGTGTGTTAGAAATTAATCACTTCATAATTAAAATTGAATACATAGAAATATATTATTTTAATCCTTGTAAATAATGGATTGAAATGAATGGAGTATAATTATATTTTATGTATTAAATATATTAAGAAAACTATAATTTCTTATTATAGATTCACATATTTCAATAAGGTGTCGAATATTGTCCTTATAGAACAATTTCTTATGGAATAATTATATATAATTTCTTATTAATCGTCATCTGCGCCTTAGCTGAACTTGACATATACAAAAGATACGGATCATAAAACGCGTCTTTCATAAAATATGTTGGTAGTTTAGTCATCTCAAGATGGTAGAAAATATAATTTCTAATGGGGGTAGTGTATTTCCCCATTAAAAATGGTGGTAGTTTAGTCCACCTCAAGATGGTAGAAAATATATTTTTTAGTTAGACTTCACAATATAAGTAATTAATCAATTGTTTTTTCAATTTTATTTTTTGGGTTGATGTAAGGTAACTTAAAAAAAATTAAAGAAATAATAATTTATCAACTTCTTATTACATTTATATATATATAATTGAAATAAAAATGTAATGAAAACGATCGAAGGCAACTCATGAAAACATAACCTAAACACATTGTCAAGAAATATATTTTTTAGCTTTTATCTCACATTGTCAATAAATATAACCTAAACACTCCAATGTGCCTATATAAGTTAACCCTATTAAACTATTAAATTCATAGAACTAATATGTATTAAATTATGATGTTAGTGCCTATAGTTTTATTTTTTTAATTTTTAAAGGATATTTTTTTAAATACTTTTAGGGATGATGTGGACCTATCGAAGGCGTGCTTCATGATCCGTACCTTCTGTAAATATTAGAGGTTCAGCTAAGGTGCGGATGATGATCTGCACCTTTCCTTGCGTGGCACCAACTCGAAAAAACCCAATTAAAGTACGGATAATAATTTACGCATTGTTAAAAAAGGTACTAGATCGATAACATCCCCACACACAAAAGAAAATAAAAAGTAAGAAAAGACGATTTATCAGCTTTCCTTAGCAAGGAAGGAAAAATTAATATGCATGTCAAAGCACTAACAACAATGGAATGAAGTAGGCAATTGTTAAAGGAGCACACGCTATCAATCGGTAATTAAAAGGAAAACAAATGCTACTAAAATCTCACGAATTAAAAATTTTTAGTTATTAAAAGATTTATTGTTAAAATTTTATGTTTAAACATTACATATAAAACATAAAGATTAATTATCAAATAATTAAGAAATTTTTAACAGTTGTCACCGCTTAAAAATGCAAAAGAAAAATTCTAATAATTTTCTTTCATCACTTTATCTTATCAGAGTCGACCTTGGGTCAAGACATGAGAATCATCCACCCATGGTCCATAAATTTTAAAAAAATATTAATATATTATTTTAGTTATAAAATAAAATAATAGAACCCATAATTTATTAACATGTTAATTGTCATTATTGAATTTTTATATTAACTTTAGTAAATCGATTCACCTCTCATAAAACTCTAATTCAATCTTTCTTTCTCAAAATTAAAAGATATCCAATTCAATCTCTTTAATTTTAGTCTTTCCAAATTCTCACCATGGATGCACTAAATCTCTTTCCCAATTTTTCATATCAATGGAAAATTTTATTAACGCTATTTTTCTCTTCAAAACTCAACCAGAGAAAATTTTGAAGTATAATTAGCTTGTTTCTTTTCTTTTCATATTTCACAATTTCTTTGAAAATTATTACTCTACTTTCAATTCCTCATATATCTCACAAGCACAAAGTCACAATCGTTTATCGTCAATTGTGGTGCTTGAATCATATTAAATATTGTTCTTAAAATTCTAGGTAAATCATGTTTCCAAATTTTTTCTTTTTTCTTTTTATATATTTTCAAATTCTAGATAATATTGTTCTTTTATTTTCAAATGATATGTTATGTATTGAGAAAATATGTTGGAAAGTATTGATGTTGACACTATCATCAATAATTTTACATAAAAATGTCGAAGGAAATGTTTTTTTATAAGTATTCGTATGCTTAAATATATTTTTGACATTTTACAAATGATAATGATTTTTTTTTAATTTAATAGAATTTTTATAAAAATTCTTTTGAATTATGAGCCTTTTTTTTAATTTCGTACTGAGTAAGAAAATAGTCAAAACCGACCATGTCTCATATTTTGTATATAGAGTTATTTTAATAATTTTTAAATTTATAAAAAAAAGGCTCTTATTTTATCTAAAATTTTATAGTTCAAATAAAAAAATATTTTTATTAATGTGGGACAACGCCTCTCAATCTCCAACCCTTCGCTTATAAAACCCCCCACCACCGCAGTGGCTACCGCATAGAGTTGTTTTTTTATATTAAAAAAAACAATTAAAAAAGGACATGTTTCAATAATCTTCTAGGCTGAATTTCTCTGGTTCAGCATACGCCACCGGTCCTACTTCAGATTCCTATTCCTTTTACTAGCTTTTGCCTTACAACATCACATGATTCTCTGGTTTCTCTTGGGAAACCCGAATGATTTTTTTTTAATTTTATCATTATTATTTTTCTTTTATTAATTGGAAAATATCTAGTAAATAGTGAATATAGTAGTGATTTTAGCTAATGTTTGTGTGTCTGCAGGAAGTTTATCTTGCCCTGATCCAAATTCGGGTAGTACTTTTACCCCTGTATCATTACCAAGTAGAAGGTATTATTTATGGGGTTCTTGATTCCAACTAATAGAATCCCTTTTCAGCTGCTTGATTGGTCCTCTGAAATTTCCTGTGATTGTTTTTTATGCTTTTCATTCTGTAATTCCCATGTCTATAAATCAGTAGTTTTCATAAGTTTTCATAAGTTTTGATACACTAAGAAATGGAGATTTTATGTGTATATTTAAGGGAATAATTAGGTGATATTTCTTGAATTACCTGTGTCTAACACATATGTAGTGAAACTGGGTAGGACTATGGAGGAGGTCGGAGTTCGACCTTCTAAAATTGTGGAAAAGCTTAAAGTAAGTTGAACATGCTTGTGTTAAACACATACACACAGTCAATATGAAATATGAAGTAGAGATTTATATGTATATAGGGGATTAATAAGATGACTTTTCTTGAAGTTTCTGTTTTTGACAGTGAATATTTGATGGACATGTATATGGAGGTTCAAATCAGACCCTCTTATAGTAAGAAAATGTTATAAACAAGGTGAATGTGCTCGTGTCAGGCACATACATATAACCGACTTGAAATTTCGATTTATATGTATATTGAATTAATAATATGAACTTACATATTTCAGGCACATATAAGTAATCAGCCATCATTCTCAAGTTTTGAGTAACAGAGGCTGATATTGCCTGGTTGCTCTATTGCTTCTCCTATGTTTGTTATCTGTTTCCTTTGTTCTGCTATCCTTGCTAAGCTTCCTGAATTGCTTGTTGGCTAACAAAAGTGATAACTAGTCTGTTCCGAAAATGGGAAAGATAAAAGAAATGATGCATTTTGCCTTAGAATTGATATCATGGGAGGCTGAATCTGTCATGTTAGCCCCATGGAGTCCATACATGTGTGTATTTCCTCCATGATTTTCTGCCCTCATGCTGTTTTCTTTGTTTGACTATCTCAGGAACAAGTCAACTGTGACTACACCAGCAAACGAGGTAAGTCTCGTCTTTTCCAAATTTTGTGACATGATTAATATCCTTCTCATTTGTGTCGTTGTAAATCTTGTTTTCCTCTTATTATATGTCTCAAGAAACCATTGACTGATACTGAAGATGATTTGAAAAAGAGAATAAGTTTCCTCAGTGGATTTATGGTGGCTTTCAAGGAACAAATTCACACTGATATCAAGCTTGAGCCTAACGATGGGCCCTCCATATCAGCACACAAATCTCTACTGGTAAAAACTCCCTACCTATGCTTTAATTAAATCTTTTCTTTATCTGTTTATGTTGGTTCAACCGAACATTGATCACGAATCTACTTATGTGTAGGCAGCAAGATCAGAAATCTTTAAAAACATATTAAGCTCGGACAACTACAAGGCTCCACCGAGTAATACTGATACGATCACTCTACCGGAGTTAAACACCGAAGAGCTCAAGTCCCTCCTAGAGTTTCTTTACACTGGGGATTTGCCTGAGGATAAGTTTAAGAGGCATGTTTTCACATTATATGTTGCAGCTGATAAGTATGAGATTCTGTATTTACAAGAGTCGTGCGAGCGTTACATGATGAATTCCTTGAACGAGTCGAACGCTCTCGATATCCTAGAGATCTCAGATTCACATCCGAATAAGAAGCTGAAGGATACAACTCTGAATTTCATCGTGCGGAACATGAAGAGCATAGTTTCCTCGCAGAAATATGAAGTTTTCGCTTCCAGCAATCCACATCTCAGTGTTGAGATTACAAGGGCGTTTGTTGATGCCAGAATTTGAGCTTGCTATTGATGGAAGAAACGGGGATGGTGATGATAAATGCCATTGGATGCAATGATAAGGAGAACTTTTGGAACACATTAATAAATGGCTGTACTAGTAGGCAAGTGTATATATATATATGCATACGCATTATGGAATGTATGTGGTATTTCTTAAATGTACTCAAACTTATACTATGCTTAAAAGGAGTTAAGAGGGGTAAAAATCCACTCTATGGATGGTTGTAATGTTACAACTTGTATAATACCACTTTCCGGCAGCGTTTCCGACTGCCATCGTCTCAAATATTTTCGAGGCTTTGAGTGAAAATTCACTCAAAGTAGGCTTTTATATAACTCCAATATATTTAGTTACTTTGAACAATTAATTTAATATTATATTAATAAATTAAAGAAAAATTATTAAATTTGTTCAAATACATTATTTTTTATTCTTTTGTTAGAAAAATACCTTAAATATAATTAAAAATAAATTAAGAAAATAAACATGTGTATGATATGGAGTTTTATTTTAAACAATAAATAAAAATAAGAATAATATATTATTTTCTTATTATACTAAAATTGAAGAAAATTAAAAGTTAAAAGAATATTTTATAGATGACGGAAACCACCTTCAGCACGAAGTGTAGCAAAGGCATTAGAAACATGATGGGCTTTTTCACTATTTTGAGAAGAGCGCGTTAACTTAAGCATGAAATATGAAGATGGGCTAAGACTATGAAATCTTTATCCGAGTTTCGGCCTGTAAATCCTTTGAGTTCAGTTTTTTTTTCCTTCTCTAGTAGGATAAATAGTTTTATTAATTAATTCAATATAACATATAAAAGTTTATTTTAGGATTTATGGTATTTCTTATAGTATTCAAGAAACTTATTACGTTAAGGTGACAAGTTTATTCAAATAATATTTTTATTTAAACTTATTACGTTAAGATGATAAATTCTAATAAAATATATTTTTTTATTAAATTTTATCACATCAAGATAAAAAATTTAAAGTAAAAATATTTTTATGAAAATTCATTATATCGACATAATAAACTTTAAACCACTATAATAAATATAGTAAATCTCTAAATAAATTAAATATATATCGTATTAAACTAAATAATTAACCGATATTCGGTATTGGACGAAAATTACCTTTGAATTATACTCTAAGGTGGCGTTTGGTTCGCTGGAATGTTTCTGAGGGAATTGAAATCTGTGAATGAATTAGAATCTGTCAGGAATTATAATCAAATTCCATATTTTGTTTGGTTCGCAGACATGTAAGATGAATTTGATTTCAGTAATGTAAAATGACAGAATTGCCCTTCTTGTTTTTTTGCTTAATTTTAGTTTGTTTTATAAATTACATGTAACAATATATTATAAAATTTTTAAAAAAATAAATTTTAATTTTATTGATTGATTATTCATTTTAATAAATTATAAAAATCATGCTAATAAACATCATAAGTTAAAATCATCTCAATTAGGGATGGCCATGGGTCGGGTTGGGTCGGGTTTTTAGTCCACCCGACCTGAGAACAAGGGAACCTCCATCCGAGACCCGACCCAACCAAAATAAAGTTTCACTCGATCCGACCCGAATATATGAATTAGAAACTCGACCCTACCCGAAATAATAAAAAAATATTTTTATTCAATAAAAACAGTGACTTAATTGGAAAAATATATATATATATATAGAGTGGTATTATTGTAATTATTTATAAATATATAAGGTAAAAATATATTATTTGGGTCGGGTCGGATTGTGTATTTTTCACCCTAAACCTGTACCGACCCGAATATCACACTTAAAAAAAACCGACATGACCCGACCAAAATAAAGTTTCACCTGACCCGACCCGAATATATGAATTAGAAATCCGACCCAATCCGAAATAATAAAAAAATATTTTTATTCAATAAAAACAATGACTTAATTGAAAAAAAATTATATATAGAGGGGTATTATTGTAATTATTCCTAAATATATAAAGTAAAATTATATATATTTTCGGGTCGGGTATTTTTCACCCTAAACCCGAACTCAACCCGACCCGAATATTACACTTAAAAAACCCGACCCGACCAAAATAAAGTTTCACCCGACCCGACCCGAATATATGAATTAGAAACCCGACCCGAAATAAAAAAAAATATTTTTATTCAATATATGAATAATCAAAAGATTGATGAGGGTAGTATGGTAAAATTTCAATTCACTCCAACAAGGGAATTGAATTCCATCATAGAATGAATGAAATTCACTTTACCTCATTTGATGGAAAGTTGAAGTCATGAGGGATTTCAATTCCCTTAGAAAATTTGAACCAAACATAAGAAATTAATAGAATTAGATTCTAATTCCCGATTCATCCAACCAAACGCCGAATAAAAGAATCAACCCAAAGAGTAACTCGTGTTCGACAGTCGTGTCGGTTTTTCTGTTTATTACATAAAATTACTCAGTTACAATATCTTTAAAAAAGAGCAAAAAATAGAGAAATCTCTTTCTTCGTCTTAAAAAAAAGGCAGGCCATGGAGTTGGAGCAAGAGAAGAGAAAGCCCAGAAAGATTTCTTCATCTTCATCTTCTGCTCTTATTAATAATCTTGATGATGGTTGCCTCATTCATATTTTCAGCTTCTTATCTCCCACTCCAGGTTGTTTTTTAATAAACCATTTTCTTAATGAATATTTTTCATTTAGGTCTGAAAAGATGGCTTCATTTGGTGGTATGATAATATATTTATCTTCAATTTTGTATTTTTTATCTGGGCAACAAGAGAATTGTGTTATTTTCTTAAGGTTGCTTGTAGCCCCCCCCCCGGCGGCGGGTATATTAATGAAGCAATTTTATTACTTTTAGGCATTTTACCTTGTCGGTAAGACTTAATGTTATTTTTAGATTCATTGGAAGTGAACTGAAGGTTAATTCTAGGTATAATAATATTTAGTGTGGAGTTGACTTTTTAGAATTCATTTATTTTCTGGTGATTATTATGATGGAATGAGAAGGCACGTGTAATGTATTTGATTCTGATAGCTCTTTTTTCTGAGGAATCTAGTTTGTGCTTCAATATTGGGTTAGATTAAAGAACCTGAGCTTTCATTTTGGTTTTCAATCCCAAATACCTTAATTTAGGGTTGTTGGATTCAGAATACTGCTGTTATTCAGAAAACCGACAATCTGAAATTCGATTCACTTCCATTCTATTGACGACGCCCTCAGTTTGTGTTTTACCTACCAAACTCTACTCTAGTTCATGCCAACAAAGAAATGAACTTGGACTTCGTTGTATGGAGCAATTTATACGTACTCCGTTTCTACTTAATGTAATCGATGGATCCCGTGGTATCTGGGACTTTGACTAATTATACTAAAACAGAGGCTTAACAAAACTTTTTCGTGTAGGACGGTGAAATGGTGGCTGAAATGTGCAGATTTTTTTTAGTCATCGAAAAATTTTCTCTTATTGAAGTGGTATTCTTGTATCTTTAGTTGTGCAGTGGTAATAGTAGGACACTTAGTTGTTTTGCAAGAGAACTTGGTACTAATGAAGTAAAAAGGTCCAAAAAAAAGTGCATCTCAAGTAATTTGCTTTGCAATAGCATTCTTATTGTGTCTTTTTCTTTATTTTCATTCTTTGAGGACCAGTGGTCTCCAGATTGGTGTTCGGAAGTTTCACATTCTAGCGAATTGAAATAATTTTAGTAGGCATGGTCATTTCTGCTGCTTTTCAATCCCATTACCAATTGCAATCTCTTTTACATAATGCTATTGAGTTGCAGATCGGTATAACATCGCCCTCGTTTGCCACAGATGGTGTTATCTGGCATGCCACCCTCGACTTTGGCTGGTAGTTGATAGATCCGTGAAGGATTTTTCTGGACCTGGTGTCTTCCCTAACATAGAATAAGCTGTGTCTGCAGCCAGGTAAAACTATCATTTCTAATTTGCGGTTTGGTGGTTATATGGTATATTTATGAAACCATTATCTTCAAACTCCCCCTTTCAGACCTGGTGACACTATTTTAATTGCGGCTGGCGGCAGTCATCTTGCCTCTAATATTCAGATTAAAAAACCACTCTGCCTGGTATGTCTTAAGGATTCTCTGCAAAAGTTAATTATAGATAAATTGTGTCCTTGGTATATATTTACTCTTTGAACTATGATTTTTTTAGAAAAAAAACTCGTGTCCAACACCAATTGCTGGCACATATTCATACGCAAGTATGAGAATGTAACCCTCCAAGTACCCTTCTAATACATGAAAAACTACTAAAAGGTTGAGCATGCCTATGTCTTACACATTTCTGTAAACACACATTGAGTTTGAGTAACAGAGAACTTCCTTAAGCATTGGCTTTGAATATGCTGTCCTATATATGGTCTCTTTTTTTTAATGCCGATACCATTTAATTGATAATGCCAATATCTTACTCTTAACGCATATGATTTTTTTTCTATAAAATGCACTTAAAGATGTTTCTCATTGGTATTATTTAAAATACACCTCAATATTTGTTACATGCCAAATGTTTTGTTACCATTTATATGATCACTGATAGCCCGAAGGGTGAGTCCTGTATAGACACAAAATATATAGGCCTAGAAGCTCCTACTGTTTGGCCTGAGATGTCTTAAAACTGCATTTTAGTAATAACAGCCTATTTGATTCAATTATTGGGCGTATGGTAACTTTCAGACTACTACCTTCTTTTAATCCCTTTTGGACTAAATTATAAACCCTTCTGATTATTTAACATAATTCTCTTAAAGGTCTCTTTCCCCATCCCCTACTCAGTGCTATGTAATTGTCTCCTGGTAAAGGGACATCAAGGCCATTAGAAGAGAATGAATATTTAACTTTGTTATTATCGTAGCAAAAAGCTTTTTGTTTTTTTCACAAGTCTACATCAATTTTCTTCAGATCGGCGGAGGTGAGCTTCCTGATGAAACAACTCTCGTCTGTTTGCGAGGTTCAGACAGGTTTGCAAAACTTCCGTATATGTTTTTGCCGTATATATTGAATGGCGATTTGTTGAGAGGTTGATACAACTTATATCTAGAAACGTTGTTTTGAGCTACCGCCATATTGCTGGAAATCGGCAGCCATGATATTAAGAATGGATCGGCTGAATTTTTTTTTCCAATGATTTATAATAAAACTAAGACGGCAAATTGCATGTCTGGCTCCTATGAAAGAACATAGATATTCAGCAATCTGGAGATGGCTCTCATTAGGTCACATGTATCCATTTCCCCCCTTTATCGAGCAAAACAACCATGTGTATGTGCTGTTCATTTTGCTAGAGCAGTGCATTGGAGTTTCTATCGACCTGCAAGCTGTCAAACTTAACAGTAAAGGTGGAGCTAGGTTGTTGCTTGCTTCATAGGAGCGGAAGGCTAATTATAGATGAATGTATACTTCAGTGTGAGTCAAACCCGTTGGACTATCTATCATGCCCGATTGTGAGTACAACCGGTAGCGGGATATTCCCTTGCAACTTGAAGAGCGGTGGAGATAGCGTTTCTGTATCTCACACTCGGATTGAAGGAGGTGCAAAGGCTGTTTTGACCAGTGGAGATCTGGCACTACAGCGCGTTCGGGTGATTTATGCTCGAACTAGTCTCTATTTCTGGTTTGATGTTGATTGCAAATAACTGGATTGAATTGCAATTCTATATCTCGGTCACTCACACTATGCAGATTAAGGAATTCAATTCAATTCCTGGATGTTTGCTTTTGTGTAAGGATCAAAATCCAATGTAGCCATAGCCGAAGGCATTGTATGTTATTTATGTTATTTTCCCATCACCATCAGATTGGATTGTATGTTATTTGCTTTTGAAATCACCAGCTCTCGCCAAAGCTTGGATGGAAAGTACACTTTCGAAAATCGAAATTCTCATAAAATTATGGGCATATTACACAAATGGTCTCTTGATTATAAGGTGATGTTTTGTTAAGTCTCTCAACCATTATAAGTTACAAAATGATTACCTGATTATTTATACGTTGAGTTGAACGTTAACTTGTTGGTTGAGATATGATAAAATTTGATCATTCTTAAATGATTATCATATCCTAAAATTAGTAGGGGTGTTTATAATTCGTTTAAAATTGAATCAATCGAATCGAAATTTCAATTAGTTAATCGATCGGTTAATTTTTAATTTGATCGATTAATGGTTAATGGTTTTTTCATCGATTGTTAGTTTTTGAAATTGATTAATAAATAAAATTAATTGAAATAATTAAATATTTAATATATTGTCTTATTTATATGTTGATTAATCCATTAATTATTATCATATGTTATTTATCTGTTGATTAATTAATCGAAATCGATTAATGGTATTTAAAGTTCGGTTTTAACTGAATTAACCGATCGAATTAATCGAATAAATTAAAATTATTAAATATTAATATATAATATTTATAAATTTAATTAATTCTATTAACCAACTAATTAACTGAATTAACTAGACTTGTCCAGATTGGTTTTCTTTGGAATTGAAAATCAATGTGGACAAGTTGAAGGATTATCGACCTATTAGTTTGGATTTACAAGATTCTGTCAAAGGTCCTACGAGGAGACTCAGATCATGTATGGACTCATTAGTGGGTCAGTCTTAGTTCGCGTTCATACCAGGGAGACAGATATTTGATTGTTCTTTTATCGCGAACGAGGGGATTGACTATCTGCGTAAAAGAGAGCTGAAAGAGGTGGTTCTTAAAATTGATTTCAAGAGAGCCTACGATACTGTCGATTGGAAGTTTCTATTAAAGGTGATGAAAGAAATGAGTTTCGGAAGTAGATAGTGCTCTTGGATTTCAATGCGTATCTCTACTGCCTCGACATCGATCCTTGTAAACCTTCGGAGAGTATTTAGACGGCGAGAGGTCTTCGTTCCCTGTCTCCTTTATTATTTAATCTTATTGGTGAGGTTTTAAATTTGATGCTCTTAAAAGCAGTGGAAATGGGTCTGTTCAATGGTTTTCATATCGGCAGCAAAAAGAATCCGGTTGAGCTATCTCATCTACAATTTACGGATGATTTGATCATAATTTGCAGTTCTTCGATTGGTCAGGTGAAGAATATCAACAAAAAAAAAATTAAGGATTTTTGAAGTCGCTTCGGGTCTAGAGCTGGATCTCACAAAGAGCAAGCTTTACGGAATTAACGCGGAAGAATCTGTTTTGGAATCTTGGGCAGCAACTATTGGATGCGGGGCTGGCTCCTTCCCCTCATCCTATCTCGGCCTCCCACTTGGGCCAAAGAGAAATTAGCTTTCACTTTGGGAGCCAGTGATCTAGAAATTTCATACAAGATTGGCGAGCTGGAAAGCTTGCTCTTTTTTAATTGCTGGTAGGCTTGTTCTAATTAAATCCATAATTCCTCGTTGATTTATTTCTCATCACTTTTCAGGATGCCGAAGTAGGTTTATTCGAAACTGAACTCGTTAATGGATAATTTCTTATGGCGCGGGACTGAAGCGAGGAATAGGATCCATTGGATTAATGAGAGTCGTTTTGTAAACCCAAGTCGAAGGGTGGATTAGGCGTGCAGGGTCTTGATGTGCTAAATCGCGCCCTGCTTAGTAAATGGGTTTGGAAAATTCGCGAATGAGAAGGAGAGCGTGTGGAAGGGTATTATTTGCTCCAAATATAACATGGGAGCTGATGACATCCTGCCCAAGAACATTCAACCGTCTTAAGGCTATTGACTGTGGAGAGACATTAAAAAATCTTTTTTCAAGGAGGATTTAATAGGGTGCCGCCATAGAAATAATTTTCGGGTGTAGGTGGGAAATGGGACTTCATTACTGTTTTGGGTTGATTGTTGGGTATGTGTGGTTTCTCTGAAGTTAAAAGTATCTAAGAATTTTTGCTTTGTCTAGCAACAAGAATGCAAAATCTCAAAGTATGGAACTAGAAAACTGTCCGGGTGAGAATGGAATATTCCCTTAGAAGGCTCTTCGACTGGGAAGTGACGCAATGGGAGGATTTAATTAAGTTGCTGAATGATTTCAGATCAAGCGGATCGATTTTGTATTGGATCTCATGGAAAGGAAGCGGAGATGGGATTTTTTTCAGATAAATCCTTTGGTTATGTTCTGTCAAAGTCGAGTCCTGACGATAAGTTTTGGAGTAGGGTCCTATGGTTGGGTTTAGCACCACCTAGGGTGGAAATTTTCGTTTGGCAAGTGGTGCATATGAAAGTTGCTGTTAAATCCGAATTGCTGAAACAGAGAGTATAGGCAGTTTTGGATCTCCTTTGTCCTCTGTGCAGATTAGAAACCGAGACTGTAGTCCACCTATTCTTCGAATGCAAGGTGGCCAGGGCCATTTGGAACAGGTTTCTTCAATTTTGGAACATTTCTCCGGCATTTCAAATAGATATTAATTCCTTCTTGCCTCCTGGTTTGATGCTACCCCGGCTCCTTGCTCAGATTCGATTTGGTTTTTTATCCCATATGTCGTTATCTGGTCTATTTGGAAGTATAGAAACGAAATTGTTTTTGATAAATGTCATGCTGATACCCCCAACTATTCTTCCTAGCCAAGATCAGGCTTGTCTCTTGGTTTAAATCAAAATTGCCTTCCTGAATCCCTTTTGACAACCTGGTTTGTGATCCCTCCTTAGCGGATTTGTCTTCATTCTGCAATACATCGAAGACTGATCTTGTGTGTTGGTCACCCCCACCCACCGGTTATTTAAAAGATAACGTGGATGGAGCAATGATTCGTGATGGAAGTGCGGGAGGAATTGGGGTTGTCCTTCGCGACTCTGAGGGGAAGGTGATTGATTCATTCTCTATGGCTGTTGGGCAAGGCCACCGTGCTGGCAGAGTTGCAAGCAATCAAGCAAGGCCTTGATCAATTTCTTAACTTAGGCCTGAGCAAGAAGCGGAGACTGATATTGGAATGCGACTGTATGTCGTTGATTGGATTACTAACCCTTCGCTATGTCCGGGTCCTTTTATTCATATAGTTATGGAAATAGGCTCTGCTGTCAAGATTTGCGCTGTTATTCTTCGTCTCGTCAGTCGGTGTATTAATTCCAAAGCGGACAGGCTAGCTAAACAAGGAATTGGGTAGTGGGACTTCATTTTTTCCTAGGCTTCTTGCTTCTGTTTGCCCTTGAGACGCTGTTAGGAGTGTTTTGCTAGTTTTTGAAATGTTTAATTCTGGTTTGTAATCTCTGTTTTGTTCGAACTTTATACGATGGTTATGACTCACTAATAAAAATGAGATACTTTTTTTCTCCCTTCCGATACTTTTTGGCTAACTTTCGGTGTGCCGAGAAGCATGAAGGAAGTTTTTAACGAGACCTCTTATTCTTATTAAAAAAAATCAGATCTTTTAAGAAAAATAACATTTTTTTTTACCGCCGAGGTCACGATTCAGAATTGTTCTCCTTCAATACATGGGAGCATAGCTCTTTTTTCCCTGCAGAAATCCAACAAGATCGTGACAAAAACATATAATATATTTATAGTATTTATGTTTATACAACTAACAGAAAAAAGAATCCGGAAAACATCACATTTACATATATTACCCGATGTAAGTAACTTCCAAGTCCTGCATGCTACACAAGTTCCTATATCATGCAATTCTAAAGTTTCAATCAAAGCCATAGCAAAGTTTGCTCAACATCTGCACATGCATCCCCTTATTTTTCTAAGTTGATTCCCTTACCAAAACCATCATAGCACGATTCCTTAATCTCTACTTGAATCATTTCTCCATGTAGAATGTCACTTAGCTTCCCGAAACATCGAAACAAAGCTCAGCACAATTTGACCAAGCCCTACATAGCTGCAACGGGGCTAGTCACACGCTAAATATGTGGTACACGCTTAAGTAGATCCATACAAGAACAAAGGATGACTTCATTCCCTGATTGTGTCGAAATCCAGAAAGTGTCGAGAGTCAATCCAGTAGACACATCTAAGCAAGAATAATGGGCACCTGTTGGGGATCCACTGTCAAAGAAGAAACAATTAGCAATTGCAAGCCTAGAAAAACTCGAGGAACAAGAGTATGATAGTATAGCAATTCAGAAAATCTAACTCGAGGAGTTTTCTTTTTCACTTTCTTCAAAGAAAAGTGAAATAAACATGATTCGAAGCCAGATTAAGACGAGTATACCTGCATCCTATCAGACATTCAACAATAGGTGCTAGTACTTTATAATGTCAAAAAATGTTATGTTTTATCATGAAGAGTAAACTAACACATCTTGACATGATTGTCAGGGCATGATCCTCCAAAGACTCCAAATACATAAAAAATCTTGAAAAATTTTGAACTTATTGGACGCATATACCCATGTCTGACACCCATGATTGAGTCCAAGTAACATAGATTGACTTACACATATATACAATTGTCAAAAAGAAAAATATATTTATATAGAACCCTACTCTGACAAGGGATTAATCTGCAAAAATAAATTTGTAGGGAATAAGGAAAGAATAAGAAAAATACAAGGGAAAATAATTGAGTAATATTTCTTGTGAAAGAACATGAGCAACTGATATTATATTAGAACTTCAATTCCTCATGAAGTCATAAGAATCTGAAGGGAAAATAATTGAGTAATATTTATTGTGCAAAATCATCAGTCCAGTGCAAGTCATTAGAACCTGAAGGGAGATATAAAAGATGACTCGTGTAATTAAGTTCAAGTCGTCAACAATCTTATGCATCGAACTTCATAAAATCTATAAATCATGGATGTCATCCATAGGTTACCCAACATATCTTGCTCATGCATATTTATAGTTTAAGCAAAATGTAGTATTAAATTGCTACCTTAAAACAAAACAAGAATTCATCAAAGAAAAGAAGTTTACCGAGATTATAGTGAGAGTACCATAGAATTTGATCGATTACATGCACTAACCAGCACAACAAGCTGAAGGCCACTTCTTGTCAGTTATGATCATAGAACAAGGGCTGAAGCACAATTGACCGCTTCATCAAGATGCAAAGCACTTATAAAGAGGCTTATTACTCTCTCTCTCTCTCTTAAAACATAGTGAAGGATGGCCATTTAATGTGCACCACCTGCAAGCAAAACTAACAAGAAAAATGGTTTAACGAAACATCATCTTAGAGAGAACAGAAAGGCGGAGAGAAGCGGAAGTATGTTTGATATTTCTTCTTTTTATTTTGTTTTGCTTCAGAGGAATACTACGGTTTGGAGGTTTCGGATGGGAACACAAGTCATGTGTTCCTAAGCATTCAGTTTCAAGTAAGAAAAATCTCACAAAATGAGATCACCGAGAAAAAGTTTGCAACCTATATAAAAAGAATATAACTGCAGAAAGGGGAACAAACTATGTTGCTTCCACTCTTCATTTTCCATAAAGTGCCCATGTCCGACAACCGTATCTGACATTTATTTGGACAAGGATACGGGGGTATATTCTTGTTGGACAAATACCCATATCCAACACCTACCACTGAGTCCAAGCAAAATAGGGAACAAAAGTACTAGGATGACTGCAAAAATGCTGCAGTTAAAGGGGTAATAACAAGCTTGATTGAAGCATCCTTAGAAGTACAAACAACTACTGGAAACAAATAAGCTAAAAGTTATCAATGAAAATGCATGACCACAGAAGAGGTTACATACAATAGATTGACCTCATTGTTCCTATACATTTGTATGAATCGCACGAGTCCCCTTGATCCTCTCTACAGATGCAATTTAAATAGCCTTATCATGTAGCAACCAAGGATTAACAGTAAAATGAAACGTAACATCAATTGTACTCTCCATAACCATAATCTAATTAGGTTTCTGGTCACAAATTCTGAACAAATGAGTTAGTTAGCCCCAAGCCATTTTCATAATACGTTTCGTATAATAAGTCCAAAAGTTTCCCTGCTACTTGAGGATCCTAGCTAGAAATCGAGAAAAGACGGCCCTAAACATAAACATGATGGAAAACTTTTTGAAAAAAAAAAAGAAGTTTCTCTGCGCAAACCATCAATGTCTGACAGATGGTATTTTGCAATTGAATCAAAGTCCTTATTCCCGAGTATCTTACAGAATTTTTAAAAGGTAGCACAAAATAAATAAATCAAAAGTCAAGTTTCCTTGTAACCATACCCACAAAGTACTGCTACCAGGAGTATGCATTAACTTAAACAATCAGTTTGCCTATTATATCAGCTATTATCATCGAGGTTGAGTCAGCTTGAGTTGATAAAAAATGATAGAAACATACTTCCAAGACGAGTTACCTTCTAAGAAAACTAACATATATTACAAATCAAAAACATCAAACATTTGGGGTGGGGGAAAGGGTAACAAAGTGTCAAACAAAGAAGTACTGTTCAGCCCCAATAAAATGGTTATGGATGTCCATGGCCCTCAAGAATTTCAAATGATTGACAAATAGTTCAGTACATACCCGTGAAAGAACATGGAAAGATAGCCTATAAAAGATAGGAAGAGTACTCCCATCTTATACAACATTCACAGCATAGAAATGAACAACCTAAGATAGGATGCTGTTTAATCTGAATTCATTCACCCAATCACCAGTGCCTCCCTTGAGAACCACCTCCCTTGTTTTTGGCAAAGAAGGTATTCTTGGGTTTTGGTAGCTCGTGAATGTCCATCACTTGTATCGTTCGTTGCTTTTTGGCTTCAAAAAGCACACAAAAAGTGCAGACAATCACATTTAGTATGAACCCAAAGTGAGGGATTCAAGATGAAGTAAATTGTGGAAGAAGAGAAGAAAACAAACCATTTTCAGCTTCTTTGTAACTTTCTTGAAGCCTTTTCCTTGCAGAAGCCAGCCTTTCAGAGCCAAACTTGATTTCCTTTGGTTCTCTCTGCCTCTACGAAACCCCCAGAAAGGTGATTCAACAAATAGCATGACAAAGTCTATACAAATATAAGCTCATCAAACCAAACCCTTTGGGCAATCGGCAACACTAAAATAGTTAAATTAAGTTGAGGTTTCCCTTTGCCTTTCTGCTAATATAATAACTTCTCATTCCTTGAGAATAAAAAAACTCAGATCATGGGAATTTGTCAAAACACCGGTTTCACATCAACAAATCATTTGAAAAGCATTTGCTATCTAAATTTGGTATCAGACCTCCATGTCCGTCAACAAAGAAATGATGTAATTAGAAGCTACAATTAGGTATGTACTAATACCTGTACGTTTCGTGGAGGGGTTGAGTGAATATGTCTTGATGGAGGATCTTTTCGGGGAGGAGGGATCGACTTTGGCTTCCTTTCAGGTTCTGAATTATTCTTGTCTAAACCAAAACTCCCATCTGTCAATTGTCATATAGAAAGACATTAAAAAGAAGGTTGATTAATTGAAGCACAAAAGAAAGATACAAAAATCATATCCAACTTTGAATCAGATACTATACTCACTGTGTGGGTTTGGAGAGTATGCAAAATCAGGAACCTACAACAGAACAGAATCTCAGAAAGATACAAAAAAAAAAAAGGCAGAATTTCAAAACAACTTTCACATGGAAAAACATCTTCTTTAACCTGTTGGCGACCATTTTGAGGGAGCTTTTGCTGCGGTGAATCTCCATCTGCTGGTATACAACATTCAAACGCATTTTAACTTTAGTGACATGTCGAAATTCTTCATATTACAGTTTAGATAACAATTTTACCCATAAGTCCAGCAGGTTCAGCTTCCCCGGGTTGATTCACCATCACCCATTCATCTACAATCTCTTTCCATTTCCTGAAGAGACAAAGAATCAAATCATATCACACACTTTCATTGATAAATTTTTTAACATATATGTCATTTCCATAAGTCCATTAAAACCTGACAAGTTGCTTCACTAATCTCCTAACATCATTTGATGAATGCTTCCTCAATTTGTTAACGTGTCTACCGATGTCGGTCTCCTGAAGATAGAATCATAACATGGCAATTGTCTTAAAATCAAACCAAAAAATAAAGTGTTCCACATAATTATTACCTTGAGAGCTTGAAATGTTATATCCATGTCTGCCAAGCTTTGAAGTAAATCAACCAAAGAATCTTCAGACTGCACAACCAATTTAAAAACATATATTCATTCAAATCAAAATCCAAAACAATTCATCAAATCAACAATAGAATTGCAGAAAAAAATTCAAAGACCTGATCTGGTAGTTCAAGACGCTCCTTAATATCAAGAACCCTTTTTTGCTCATCATCAAACAGGCCTCCATAAGGGTCCAAATCATCATCTTTATCTGATTGAGGAGTAAAAGGTGACCCTTTTCCTCCTCTTCCTTTAGATTCATGGGGGCTATCTTCTTTATTTACTTGATATCCATTTGATCTCTCACCAAAATCACAGCTTTTACACCTGGTAACCATGGAAGTACCATAAAGCCTCTCCACTATCCCATCCCTCCTTTGCTTCAACTCTTGGCCATAATCCAAAGAAGCTACCATGATTGCTGTGTCTAAAAAAGTCCACACATCAACACCAGCTGTTTCAAGAACTGATCTGAAATCATCCAAATCCATTACAATTCAAACAAAAAGCTGATGATTATATTGCAATATTCCAAGGGCCTGTTTTTCAAGGTATCGAATCAATATTTGACCTTCAACGTAATCAGATCTGATTGAAAACAGAAAGACCCAAAGCTTGAATTTTGCAAAAATTTTCAGCAGACAAAAAAGAAAACAATTCTTTGAAGTCAAAGCTGAAAAGGTTTTTTTATTTATTTATTGAACAACTTGATGCTTTTGAGTTTGTTAATGGAAATGGATTTTTGTCTGGGTATTGGAATAAACCAAATGAACGGATAATTTTTTTTTTTTTTTTGCTTTTAGATGAAATTGACTATGATTTTTTCTTAGGGTTAACTATACGAATAATTACTTATATTTGTATTTTATCTATTTTTTTGTTCTTAATTTTAAAAAATAAAATGTAATATTTTTGTTTTAATTTAATTAAGATATAGTTATTTTTTAATTAAGATGAGATTATCACAGGTTAATTGTTGTTAATATTTAACAGAATATGTAAAGTGATAATTGGTATACCTATACATTTGATCGTTGTTATTTATATATTCTCTCAATTTTAAATAAAATTTAACATAAAATATATATTTTTAAATAAAAATAAAAATAAAATATTTTTTAAATTAAATTAATAATAAAATATATTTAATAAATTAATATAAAAATATTTTAAAGTTAATATATATATATATATATAATATTATAAATTTAAGAATTTATACATTAAGATATAAATATATACACCATGTTATATATATATATAATAATATATATATACTAAGATGAATATGGTTCGGTGTCTTTCTGCCTCTTTTTGCCGTCAAAAGCTCACTTTACTTCTTCTCAAAAAGCCTTTCGGGGTTTCCTTACACGTTATGATCCAATATAAAAGCCATAGAATTATCCGTCTAGAATCAAAGGAACCATGGGAGAAATTAAATTTTATGTACGAACCAACGGATAATTTTGTGTTAAAAAAGTAATCTTTTAAAATTTGAAAGGGAGATGAATTTATAAAATTTTAAATGACGAAAATTATTAATATAAAGTATAAAAAAATTAAAACGTATTTTAAGAGGAAATTTTGTCTCTCTCTTTTCCTTTGAACCAAATAAAATAATATTTGTTTGATTTTCGCTTTCAAAGCTCTGAAACACTATACGGTATTTGAAAATAAGGTTGAACCAAGTTTCAAGTCGCTCAAGTGGTGCGCATTGTATGGCGGAATGATACGAGCACAGGCGAGGTTAAAAAAATTATTTTGGATAAGAAATTTTAAGTTATTTTCAAGTGTGGAACGTAAATCGACTTGCAATGACCTTTTCGAATGGGATTTGTATATTCTTTTTACGTATGAGCTTCTCTCGCACATTTTAAAAAATTTAAAATCGAATGTCTTTCGATTGTTTTTCTAACACATCTATTGAATCGGACATCAAGAACTAAAATTAAGTAGGAACAATTCCTGAATTCTTGGTTCCCCATGACAGAATGAAAATTTGGGGAAATATGCATCAGAATTTTGTTTGATGACAAAAGTGAAATCGAGAAGATCACAAGTAAAGCATAGATAATAGTAGTCTATTCTCATCCCAATCCATCACTTATAACCCATTACATTAAGATAACACCAAGTATTTACAATAGCATAGATAGGTAAGAAAGAAAGAAAACAATCTGCTCAACAATTCAAATGCTATGATATTTTGATTTCACCATACTATTTTATTGCCAATATCCGGTTAAACAAGAGCTTCATTATGTAGCATGATCCTCAGTATCGATGAAGAACAAGAGCTTCATTATGTACCGTTAACACCTTGTAGCAATACCAAAGCTTCAATCGCAGCAAGAAGGGCATCGTATGAGGCCGTTTTCGTTGCATTCGAAGCATCTCTTGATCAAGCCTTCGTCGTGGTCGAACAATTTCCGGCTGCCACTGCAATTCCCACAGGGCACGAACCTGACATCCCCACAAGCATTGCAAGCAAACCCAGGTTTTCTCCTGGGAAAATCATCCAGAACCTTAGCCAGTTCGCCCATTTCGAACATGCTTTTGATCACATCGGCACCGCCCACGTACTTTCCCTTTATAAAAACCTGGGGCAAAGTTACCTTCTTCACTTTCAAGATGCTCTGCAACTCTTTCTTATAAGCAGCATCCATGGAAATGTCTCTCTCATCGACCCAAAGTCTGAACCCTCTAAAAATCATCATCACGGCGTAACAGTCCTCGTAAGTCCTTCGAATTCCTCGTAAACTGGTTAAATAAACGACGATGCGATCTTCGGTTCCCGGTAATCTTATCGAAGGGTTAATAAAACCCGACGAAATCATCGATTTTGTGGGTCTTAAAACGGGCTTAGAGGCGGGTTCTTTAGGACTGGGCAAGTTGGATGAGGACGATGAATCTTTGCCAGATTCGAATAAACTGCAAAGCTTTTTAACTTTACCTTTGACGGAATCCAGCGAGTCGTGGAATTTGGGAATCGGAGCAGGTCGATCTTGAGAGTGTTGATTCTTGAGGAAGAAATGAGCTTTTGGATGATTAGAATCAACTTTGGATGGCGCATGCATCGTAAAGGAACGATTTAAAAACCCAGATGAGGATGATGATTTCATCTTGTTCTTCCCCATTTCTTCCATCGATCCAGAGAAAATAAAAATCAATTTTATTTTGTTTTTCACGGAGAAAAATAATAATAAAAATTCAGATTTTGAATCTTTATTGGGTTCAATGAATTTCTTCTACACTTTGTGAGAAACGAAAATGGAGTGGAGGGGAAGGGAAGAGAAGCAAGGATTTGGCTTCCAAATTAATTTTACATAAACTATTTAGGATTCATTTGTAATTTACATTTTAAAATGACTTGAAAAATATTTTTATATGAATTAAAAGATCCCATTACTTGCAATTGTTTTTTGCACAGATTGGATGGGTGATTGTTTACCATTCTTCCCTGCTGGTTGACCCTACCCTTTTTAAGTAAAATTTTGTTTTTATTAACTAATTGAAAATAGAAAACGGGGTTTTGAGTTACACATTTTACTAAAATAGTCCAATTTTGCTATTTTCCCCATAATTTCTCCTTTTTTTTAAAAGTAAATGGTATTAAAGTTCCATATGCAATGCTTTACATTTTTTGTTTTGTTCAACTATATTTTACAGATCATCAGTTGATTTTTTTTGTTCAATTATATTTTAAAGGTTATTAATTAATTTTTTGTTCAATTATATTACAAGCATGTTATCCGTGTAAAACACAAAATTCCAAACCTACTATTTCAGTCTTTATAAGGGTAATTTGTTAGGAATAACACATCACTTTTAAGAATGATAATCATGTAATACATATTATAAGTGTGTTTAGTCATCCTACCTTTCATTAAAATTACCCGTATGTGAATTGATTTTAATGTTTTTTAAAAATCAATAAATATTAAATAAATTAGATAAATTATAAGATAAATTATACAAATGGTCACTAATGTTTGATTAAGTTTTCGTTTTTCTCACTGAAGTTTAAAATGCAACAAATTAGTCATTAACGTCACCGATTTATAATAAATCGGTCACTCAACGTTACAAAAGGTGACGGAATGCTGAGTTAGACCGTTAACCTCTTAGTTGGCCCGTTGATCCGTCACTAATGGTCAAACCAGAACCTATTCTTCTTCATCTTTACTCGCCACTGCCACCGTCGTCTTCATCTTTTAAAACATGCAAAACGCAAAAGCCTCTTATCGGAACTTATTTACTGTATGGTACTTCTTCATTTTAAGATGAGATTTATACCTTTTTTCGACAGAGAATTCAGCCATATTCTAAAAGCCTTTAATACGTAATATCAAATGTCGTCCAAAAGAATATTAGTTCAAAGTTATTATTATAAACATAGACCACGGGAATCACCATTTGCACGTTCTGGGTATTCCGTAGTTTCAGACTTTCACAAAAACAGAAGCTGTAAGAAGCCTTGAAATTTCAAACTCCCCATGCAAATCTGGGATTCATTGTTTGGCTGCTAATAAAATAGATTTCTTTATAGAAAGTTCGGTACTATATTCAGCTGATTGTTGTTGGGGTCGAAGATTAGGAATTCTTGGTATTTTGAGCATAAGAAGTCCTCGTTGGAATTGTTTGTCAATTTTAGACAAATCAATATGTCGGAGAATGTCGTAGGTTTCATCGACCGGCAATTTTTTTTACTATGAAGCCGACGCCTTGTCATGCTTTGAGTACATCGAGGCATTGGAGTCTCATTGTAGGAACAGAGGCAGAGGATGTAGCGAACACTCTCTCATTGAGATTCAAACCTAGTATGTGTGGTTGTCATTGAGGGTGTAAACAAGCCGAGTCGAGCTCAAATATTGTTGAGCTTAATTAGAATTCGAAAACTGTTAAAGTAAACTCGACTTGACTCGAAAACTCACGAACTAAAAATTATTAAGGTCAACTCAAATTCGAAATATATTATTGAAACTCGACTCGAAAAAGCTCGAACTCAAAAAAAATTCAAGAGCTCGATTGAAGCTCAAGACTCGAGCTCGATTTTGAGATCTATTCAAACTCGATTCAAGCTCGATTGAACCAGGACGGGTTAATTTTCATTTGCTAAAACCCATCCCCTTTTATACACTCGACTTTACCCCTTATTCCCCAAAAACCACCAATGTGAGATATCAACTCACATAGGACACTAGTTCCATAAGGAAACAGTACGCAAAAATATTATTTTATCAATAATTTATATAATATTTTTTAAATTTTTTTCCATCTAAATATATTAATTTTTTTATTAATCTGCACATCGGTTGATTATTAATTCCATATAATATTTTTAAATTCAATTTTATCAAGTCATTGAAAATAAAGATCATATGAAAATAATAGGGTAAAGTACATAAATAGTCACATGGTTATTAAAAGTTATAAAATAGTCCCACGACTATAGGATGTTATGTTGTTGAGTCCTTCAACCATTAAAAGTTATAAAATGGTCACTCGACTATTCATAAGATTCAAACTCGTCATTTTTCATTCAAAAATTGGTGATCGTATGATATTGATGTTAACATGTTGACTAGGGTATGGTAAAAAATGATCCCATTGTTTTAGTTGTATTTGTACATCAAATCTCCGTTTACATTATGTCATCGAGTCAGTTCTTGAAATATTATGTTGGTGAGTCCGTGCTTGAAAGCAATGACGGTGTTGATAGTCGTCATTAAGATATGATAAAATCATTTATCAAACAGCAAGTTGTGTATATTTATTTTACATGTTGATATGTTTATGTATAAGTATGCGAATGATTTATTTAGGAGTCACATAACAACATTTTGTATCATTTGTATGTTACCTTCATGTGCATAACTTAACTCCTATCACATAATTGGATTAAGGGTTTAGAGTTTAGGGTTCATTACAAATATATTAATTAATCGACTTGGTATCAATTTATGAGGTAAATACAATATAGTATATTGATATTAAATGCTCAAACCCTTGATATTTATTATATTTGAACCCGAAACCTCAAAATATAACAACAATTTAAAAAATTAGTTATTAAAAATATTATCATTAGAATTATATTAAATATTTGTCATTAGATAAATATTTTTTATTAATTTAAAATAAATATAAGAATATTTATTCAAAAATAATTTTAACCATTTTTAATTTTTCTATTGTTTGGCTGTTTTTTCTTTTTATTTTATTTTTCTAAGTTGTCAAGTACTTGTGCAGTAAAAAATTAAAAAAGAAAGAAAAAAATCAACCAAACACGTGTAATCTAACATGTGCTTAATTAAATGAGTTTTTATTTTTCTTTTAGTAATATACAATGTAACAATTGGACTTGGGCTGATTAATTAAAAAAAAAATTAAAATTTGAGGGTAGTTGTATTATAGAAATTTTAATATATTTTTCAAATTTTATAATTATCAATAATGTATTTTTAATATATTTTTAAAAATGTAATTTTAAAAAATCTAAAATTATAATATACATTTTTTTCGAGTTGCTCTCGAGCTTTTCGAGTCAAATATCGAGTAGCTTGTTTTGGTTCGTTAAGAACTCGAGTCGAGCTCGAGCTCGAGTCGAGTCCATTTGATCCAAGTATTTATCAAGCCTTGATCGAATCGATCTCGAGTAGCTCGTGATTTGTCTCGTCTCATTTACAGCCCTAGTCATTGTTAAACAATCCGAGACGAAAAAATAAAAAAAAATAGAATTTTTATTATTAGAAAGGAAGAGATACATTTTAAGATTGAATCACCTGGATATTAGAAGAATATCGAACTTGAAATTGGTTGAGGCCTGCAATTACGCAGTTTCCTTAAGACAAATTTCCGGCCACTCCTTGGTGCTCGAGATATCTTGGTTGTTTGTCTCCTAAGATACAACAACGATATGGCCAGTGCACAGTAGCACAACTTGCGATACCACGAACTTTAGCTTGATAGAGAATATCACTGAAAAACAGAAAAGAAGAAAAATATTTTGAGTTGCGTATAACCTAGTAGGTTAGCTCTATATATATATATAGTGATTTCATATAGGAGAAAATTGGAAATAATATATTCCGAAAAAACAATGTCATTAATGAGTATCCGAATTAATTCGAAAATAATCATTTAATATCGTATCAAATGGAACATATTCTTGAATTGTAAGTCATACCATATTTAATTTGTTGTGGCACTACAAAAAATTTCTACTATTGTGACAAATTTCATTTTTTCAAAATTAATTATGTCACTATTAGTAGCTTTTTGGAGATAAAATAAATAATCATCGTATTAAATTTTAAAAAGATATACAATTATGATAAAAGCTAAAATCGTCGTATTAAATTTTAAACAAATAATTTCTCAATCGTTTCGAGCATATGAGATATCGTTGTAAAGATCTCATATCGTAGAATATGAATCAATAAATTCATTATTCGATTTTCTATCTTTACACTTAGAAAATATGCCTCGAAGTTTCCAATTTATCACATTTTTGCCAGCAATCCCTCGCATGAATGAAATTGATGATTTTATCAAAACATTTTGACTCGATGTGGTGATAGACCCTACGAACGATAGCTGTATAGAATAGGTAGGCATCCTCATTTGAACCTTCCCTTGTGAGTATATTTACTTTTGGCTAATCAGTGGATGTGATGTCCTTGAACTATTCTGTCGTTTGAGTAAATGATAATATACTTCACTCAACTGTTTTTATAAAAAGCATATTAGTTCTCATGGGTATGTCCTTATAGCCGTGGACATCGCCTAGTTCTTGCAAGAGTTTGAGAGAATTATGCCTAAAAGTCTCTTTGAAGTGGACCCACTTCACTCTCACATATGTGACATATGTTGCTCGACTCGTCGAAGCACACAATAGTCATTAAAAGCCTTACTTAGCCTATACCAATATGATCACTGTTTACATCATAGGAATGAACTTGAGATAATAAACCCCCACAGTGACCGCACACGATTTATGTAATTAGGTTATCCCTTTGAACCTAGATCTAGGGGTCTCCTGTTAATAAGGTAAGGTTTTCCTTCACATAACAACTTTAGATTTTCATGGGCTTTAGTCTCATTCCTTTAGATGTTTTATCAACTTGATCTCGATTTAACCCTTTACTTAACGATTCCACGTTGTTATCCTTTGATCTTACAAAATCAATAGAGATAACTCCATTTGAGATCAATTGTCTAACAGTATTGTGTCGACGACGCATATGTCTCGATTTATCATTATACATGAAATTCTGGGCTCTAGCAATCATTGCAT